AAGTGTCTGAGGCCAGATTTAAACTCAGGTCCTCCTGATTCCAGGGCCAGTGCTCTATCCACTGTACCACCTAGCTGCCCCCACAAAGAGCACTGTTGAAGAAGAAAGTTTCCCAGACTACATTCCACACAAATCTGCTCATCTAACAGCTGAACTCTCTACAATTTAGCCAATCCCCCAGTATGCATCCAGCCTATTCTGTAAGGTTAACCATTGATTCAACAAATATTAAGTGCTTGCTTATGTGCCAGACATTGTGCTAAAGACTGGAAAGGGCTCTTAAGGGCGGAGACACTTTAGCTAAGGCCTGAAGAAGGGAGTAGGGGGTCCAAGAGGTGGAAGTGAGGACAATATTCTAGGCACTAGAAACAGCACAGGTGTGTAGAAAGTGAGATGGAGAGAAAGGAGGCTGGTAGCAGGGAAAACAATTAGGAGGCAATTGAAATCAACTGGGCGAGAGGTGATGTGGGCTTGAACTAAGCTGGTGGTTATGTAAGTTTGAAGGAAAAAAAAAAAGGGGAGCAGCTAAGTGGCCCTGTGGATAGAGCTCCAGCCTTGGAGTCAGGAGGACCTGAGTTCAAATCCGACTTCAGACAGTTGACACTTACTAGCTGTTTGACCCTGAGAAAGTCACTTAATCCCAACTACCTAAAGAAAAAGAAGGGAACAGATATTAGAAAGAACATGTAGGGAGAGTTAACAAAAAATCAGCAACTGAATAAATATGGGCCATGATGTACAGTACCAAAAAGGACTTTAAGGTGGTAGACCTAGAAAACTGGAAGGGTGATGGTACCCTTGACAAATTTTTTTTTTTTTAAATAGGAAAGGGGGGAGGTTTAGAGGAAATGAGTTCTATTTTGAGTTTGAGAGGACTATGGAACATCTAGTTGGAGATCTCAATCAGGTACTGCCAATCAACAAGAAGTTAACTAAGCACTTAATATGCAAAGAGTCAGATATGACTGAACTACTGAACAACAAACAATTATTTCCTACTGTGTCCTTTCCTCTACCCCCTCCCAGAAAGGCAGGACTGGATTACTCTATAATACTACAGGCTGGAGGATTTAGGACTGTGACTTTTGATAAAATGCAACTGCAGAAATGAAGAAAAACCTATATATTCAGTCTCTCCTCTTTAAATCACCTTGCCTTTGTCCATGGGTCCCAATGTAGATGAAGGCTGGAGGAAATTTCAGGGCAACAACAGACTTCTGATTAAGCTCTAGCAACCCTGAGAGCTAAAAACCTGCCTTGGCCAACTGTTTCTCTACTTTCTGGAAGACTAAAACATACTTTCTTTTTTTTTTCTGGTGAGGCAATTGGGGTTAAGTGACTTGCCCAAGGTCACACAGCTAGTGAGTGTCAAGTGTTTGGTCTGAGGCCGCACTTGAACTCTGGTCCTCCTGACTTCTGGGCCGGAGCTCTATCCACTGCAACCTAGCTGACCCAAAACATACTTTCTAAAGCAGTCACAGCATCAGGATGCAGCCCAAAATTCAGTAAGTCTAAGGGACAAAGGGAACTACAGGCGAAAATACACATATTTCTCTTCATTATCCTTGCTATTGAATAACCTTGATCAACTGAGAAATGAATGTGGATTCCTTTTTTGCATCACAGGTCAGTAAAGAGACAAATGAAAAAGTGCATTGAAAACACATAAAAGTACCATCCAGGTTTAGAGTATTTTCATAAAACTACAAAAATACAAAATAAGTTATCCTTTTTCTTACACACTATTGACCTTCCTATCAAGAATGTTCTAGTCCAAAACGTCCATATCCTCTGACCCAGAAATTCCATTATTAGGTATAGAGGTCAATGACAAAAAGAAAGCAGCTACACACACCAAAATATTTATAGCAGCATTTTTTTTTAATAGCTAACAACTGAAACAAAGTAAATGTTCATCAGTTGAGGAAAGGCTAAAACAGTTGTAGTTCATGAATGTAATGGCACATTAAGTTAGTTTTTTGTTTTGGTGATGGGGTTAAGTGACTTGCCCAGGGTCACACAGTTAGTAAGTGTCAAGTATCTGAGGTCGAATTTGAACTCAGGTCCTCCGGACTCCAGGGCTGGTGCTCTATCCACTGCGACACCTAGCTGCCCCAAGCTAGTTTTTTAAAAAGAGAATATGATGAATACAGAGAAGCAAGGAAGACAAAGATAAATTAATGTAAAGTGCAGCAAGAAGAACCAGGAAAACAATATACACTACGACTAGAGCAACATAAATGGAAAGAATGACAATAACACAAGTGAAACTTAATGCTTCAAAATTATGACCAAACTTGGTGCCAAAGAAGAAATATGAAAAAGCATCTCACCCTCTTCATTGCCATGGCAGGTTGACTATCAGTGTGGAATACTTCATATGTTATCATACTTGTCCAATATGTTGGTTAACTTTTCCTGAACTGCTTATTTTCTCTTTTTTATTCTTTGTTTAAAGGATTGATCTATGGGAAGGAGATAGGGAAATAAAACACTGGAAATATATAAAAAACAAAATATATTAATAAAATTTTATTGGGAAAAAAAAGATTTTCTAGTCCCTCACATTGACCCAATGCATCCAGTTAGGTACAAACTAATACTAAACCAAAAACAGATCATACAAAAGCATACACACCCACACCCACTCCCTACGCATCAATTATTTGGGACACTTCTATTCTTCCTATTCTCCCCAACTCTGAAAAACCAGCTTATTTATACACACAAGCCAATATGTCAGGGAAACCAAAAAGCCCATTAAATGCATGGGCCCACTCATAAAAGATACTCTACCAGCTTTAGGACAAACAGGCCATTCTGGTACTTCCATTCCTATACAAACACATACAATCCCATGAAACAGGCTCCTCTTATAGTATCTAATACATACAGCATTTGCTATGTCCCAGGCATTATACTAAGCATATTTAATCCTCACAACAGCCCTAGAGGTAGGTGTTATTATAACTCCCATTTTACATAAGAGTTAACTGAAGCAGAGTTAAGTGACTTGCCCAGGGTCACACAAAATTAGTTGCCAAATGATTGACTTGCTAGATGGTGTCTGGTGAGTGCACGGACAGTTAGCAGAAGTGGCTTGGTAGACAAATGGTTAGCCATGGACTCAAGACTTTGGAGCTGAGTTTGGATCCTACCTCTGATGATTACTAGCTGTGTGACCCTGGGCAAGTCACAACCTCTCAGCACTTTCGGAAGACTCTCTAAGACTACTGTCGCAGCAGTGACAGGCAGATTCCACCCTCTCGCTCCCTATTAGAGAGTACATTCCATACACCCTTCCTGTCTAGGCTATACACACCTACCCCCATACGTGTAAATTAGTGGCAGCACTTCCATTCTTCCCAACTCTAAAAACCAGCTTGTTCACACACACACACACACATATCTCCATACACACAAAATGGCCACTCTGGAATCCATATACCGGTCAGCCACCTCCTTGCACACTGAGGTTAACTCAGCCACTGATCACACAAGAAGACTGGTCTGTCAAGACTGAACCCCTCCCCCTCCAACCACTACCTGACGTTCATTCTAAGATACTCTTAGGACCCACAGGGTCCAGCCTGCTAGGGATGCCCACATCACACTATGCACACAAATGCCCTGGGCCTCGTCGGTCCCTGCGGGTGTTAGCAGTGGCTTCCCCTGAGACTGCCTCCCATCTGTATACATTCCCTAGTTAATTGCACTATCTCCACTGTTAGACTATCAGCTCCCTGAGGGCACAGGCAGCGGTTTTGCCTTTCTGACTCTTAGATCCGTGTCCGGCACCTTCGTAAGCAATTAATGAATGCTTGTTGACTCACTGGCCCAGCACCGCCTCTATTTGTTCTTTCCTCTTTTAGGCGCCCCCCCCCCCAATTCCCGGACTATTCCCCGGGAGAAGGGGGTACAAGGTCGCTCTCACGAGGCTGTAATAGAGCAAAGCCAGGCCGGTGACAGGGAAGACTGCAGGTCCTGCCCCCCCCCCGACAATTCTATCCCACCTACCCATCTTAAGAGCCAGCCCCCACCCCCAGCGGAGGCAGGGGAGCTGGGGTCGCTTCGGCTGCAAGGACTCCCAGCAGGAGGGAGAAAAGGTACACGTACACCCACATACACACATATATACACACAAACACACACACACACGTTCATGCACGCCCCGCCCCCTCCCCCCTCGCTTGGCACTCGCATCCCTCCCCACAACTCCGCGGTGGTGCCTCTCCCAGGGCTCACCCGCTTTGCACCCACCACGCCGGCACCCCCCTTGTCAGGGGCCACCTGCAGGTTGCTCTTCTCCGACTCTCCCTCGGACAAACCTGCCCAGCCTGGGGCCGGGTTAGCCCGAGGAACCGCTACCTCCCCGACTCCAGCTTCCACTTCAAGTGTCCCCAACCAGCCTCCTAAATTTCCACCGCCTCCTCCTACCTCCCGCCCCAGCCTTCCCCTTGCGCGTGCGTCACCAACCCCCGCACAATCAGCCCCATCCCCGACCTCCCGCCCTGTGGGACTAGTCCATCTCCGCCTCCGCAGGGGGAAATACTGGTCTTAAACTATTCCATTCCTGCCCGGCGCAGGTGTGAGGGTAAGAGAGATTTGTCCTCAGCACCGGACCATTCCATTCCCTCCCGATGGAGGGGTGTGAGCAAAAGAGATTTAGCCTCAGCAACGGACTATTCCATTCGCGCTGACTAGAGGGGTGTAAAAAAAAGACTGGTCCTTGGCATAGGACTATTCCATTCTCCACTGGACTATTCCATTCCCGCAAGCTGGAGGGGTGTGAGGAAAAAAAGACTTGTCCTTGGAGCACGAGATTATTCCATTCCTGCCGGCTGCAGAGGTTTGGGGAAAAACGGATTTGCCCTCAGCTCTGGACAATACCATGCCGGCCAACTGCAGGGGTGTACGGTAGGCCAACTCGGGCCTCACCTCGAGACTCCATGAAATGGGAGGCACAATGTAGCAGGGACTAAGTCCTTGACCCGGAAGTAGAGAGAAACGATTAACCTTGCTGCCTGAGCGGAAGTCGCTTACTCCACAGCTAGCTTTCGGTCGGTTCTTAGTCCTTTACTCTCCTTCCTTACTGGCTTGTGAGCAGTTGTAGGCAACGCTGAGCAGCTTTGTGCCGTCAGACTTGGACCTCGCTGTCGCTGGAACCTCGGGTGAGTGAGCCGTGGGAGGCCAGGCTCAGAGCTTGGGCGTGCGTTTAAACGGAAGCCGACTTCGCTGTGCGCGGGAAAGTGCCGGGTGCCCGGCCAAGTGCCGGGTGCCCGGCCGCGGCGGGCCCGTCCTGCGCGTGGGAGCGGGGAGCCGGCCCCGGAACTTCTGTCTGGGTGCTGGGAGCGTGGCTCGGCGGGACAGCGTGCGGACCGGGGGCGCTGCATGTGGAGGCTCTGGGCCAGCCCGTGACCGGGGCCACTCCTCGGGGGGAAATCAGGGTTAAATGTCTTTTAAAACACTGAAAGACCGTGAGGGGTAATGGAAATGGCGCTGCATAGTGATTTTAGAGCTGGAAAGGACCATGGAGGCCAAACCTCTTGCTTTACCGATGAGGAAACTGAGGCACAGAGAGGTTAAGTGATTTGCCCAGCTAGTAAATATTTGAGGTGGGATTTTAACTTAGCTATAAACCGACACACAACTTTCAAGTGACTCCTGGAATAATTAGAGTGTATATAACCGATATTAAAGTAAATAGTAAAAAGCATAAATACAAAATAAACTGAAAATACTGCATATATTAAAAACATTACATATGATGTGTAATATGTAAGATACATATAAGAATAAACATAGTACTAAGCGTAGTACTTGTGTGTGTGTACAAAGGACTATTAGCTCTAGTTAAGCCTTGGGTAAGTGTAGTATGGCTTGTGTTAGTATGTTTGTTTGCAGCTTCTTCCAGATGATGGATAAAGCTGAGTGCAAAGCCAGATCTAACAGTTTCCTATGCTTAGTTTAACAAATGTTTATGCAAGTCCTGGTATGTGGCAGGCCCTGTGCTGGGAACTCTTAAGGTCACTGATACTAATACTAAGTTATTCTCTTACTAGTTCTGTTTTCTGGCTGCCCTACTGAGACGTCACCATGTCTTCCCACAAGACTTTCAGAATCAAGAGGTTCCTTGCAAAGAAGCAGAAGCAAAATCGTCCGATTCCTCAGTGGATTCGCATGAAAACTGGCAATAAGATCAGGTACAACTCCAAGAGGAGACACTGGAGAAGAACCAAGCTGGGCTTATAAAGAACTGCCACCATGGTCGCTTAGATTCATTCTTTCCTAGTCGGAAACACCTTGCCATACTACCACCCTGATTTTGAAAATTCCAAAGGTGCAGACATAAAGAAACTTCTTATTCAGAGATTGCCATTTTGTTTCTTTATTTCTTTATTGGTTCAGTGATTCAATATGCTATTTTTAAAATGATAATAACTGCTATTTATATAAGCTTTAAACGTTATAAACTAATCCAGTTTTCAGAAAGGTCCAAAGACTTAAAGGTGAGGAGACCTGCTCATTGGCATAAGGAGGCGAAAACACATTATCAGTCCAGAACTGTACAAGAGAAGCCATGAAAGGGTGTCCTTTAAAGGTTATTGCTGAAAAAGAAAGCAGTCAGTGGTACAAGTGAAGAAACATTCATGCACCGTTGGGGCACTCCATTGCTGTTCATCTTATGCCGTAGGAACTAGGCTCATAGCACATTGGCAGGAGTTACTGGGACAGTAGTCACACGTGATAGGCTTGGATGAGCAGCAGTCTGCATCTTCAGAGTACCCAGTTATCTCATTTGATCCTTACATTGAACTTGTGAGCTAAGTGCTACAAGGGATTGTTCCCATTTTACGGTTGAAAAAAACTGAGGCTTAGAGATGTTAAATGATTTTGACCATACTTCTGCAGCTAGTAAATGTAGAAGATCCCAGGTCTTTCCTGACTCTGCATTGAATACTCTTTCCACTATATGATGCTGCCTTTAAATGGGAGAATAATGCAGTTCTTACAGCTCAGAAATTTACAACCTAATAGAGGAATATGACACACTTAGGCATCATAGTAAAATGTAAAGAGTGCTCAATTTAGATTACTGGATGTGATTTATTATACCTTAGTTCAAATTTTGGCTTTGCCACATACAGCAAGTATTTATTAAGTGCCTGCTATATGCAGGGTACTCTTGTTGGGTTTAGGGAATACAAATACAGTGAATATGGTGGGGAAGCTAGGTAGCACATTTGGATAAAGTGCTGGGCCTGGAGTCAAGAAGACCTGAGTTCAAATGCAGCTCCATAAGCTTCCTAGCTGTGTGACCCTGGGCAAGTCACTTAACCACTATTTACCTTAATCCACTGAAGAAGGAAATGGCAAACCACTGCAGTATCTTTAACAAGAAAACCCCAAATAGGGTCACAAAGAGTTGGAGATGACTGAACAACATTTCAATTTAGTTTGTTTCCTTTAAAATCATATTTTATGCATTTAGAATGTGTCGATATGGAACATTTAGTAGTGGTCCATAGGTTTCACCAGACTGCCAGAGAGGCCCATAACACAAAGTTAAGAACCTCTACTCTTAACACCTGTGGTAAGAAGAAACTACTCAAATATTAATTTTAAACATGGATGTATTTTTTTTGTAAGGAAAAAGGTAAATCCTGAATTCCTTCCTCTACACTGCCTTTCAATTCAGTAAATACTTATTAAGCATTTACTGAGTCTGCCCCAGGCACTGTGCTAAGCACTGGGGAATACAAATTGGAAAAACAAAGTTCCTGCCCTGGAGGAGTTAACAATCTGTTGGATGAAGACTACACACAAAAAGGGTATTGGGAGTGGGGGAGATTTTCTGCACAATTCAGATCCCAGCTCCTCTTCAGAAGGACAAGCAGTGCTCTACCCTTTAGCCCTCCAGTTGAAATGGAGAGGAAGCTTGAAGGAGTTGAAGTGTTAAGTATCTGAAACTGAGTCAGTCCATCTTTCTCAAATCTCATGGCATTTACTGTCCATAACCACTCATTTTGTACTTAGTTAAGTGCTATTTTGCATTATTTTTGCCTTTTTCTTGTATGTTTGTTTTGTTTCTAAGTGGTAAGCTACTTGAGTGTTAGGCACTCAAATATTAAATTGATAGTCCATAAAACATAAATGGGATGGGGAGCAGCTAGGTGGCACAGAGAATACAGCACCGGCCTTGGAGTCAGGAGGACCTGAGTTCAAATCCGACCTCAGACCAAACACTTGATACTAGCTGTGTGACCCTGGGTGAGTCACTTAACCCTAATTGCCTTAAAAATTTTTTTTTTTTTAAACCATAAATTCACCTTGTTTGAAGTGCTACCTAGCGATGGGGAAAGTAGAATATTGAAGGTAGATGGACGTGATATTTACCCCCAAAACTAAATCGTCCACAAATCTCACCAAAAGTGAGTCACTGCATTTTAATGAACAAAAAAGTGAAAACAAAGAGAAACATTTAAGGATGAAAAAAAAACAGGAGGAGGTCCAGCAATCTAGGGAGAAAAAGAATAGATTTCTTTTGGGTAGTGAGGGTAAAAATGTTCCCCAGCCTTCTCAGCCTAAAGAGTGAGGACCTGGGGTCAGTCCAAGATGCATAATCTTGTATGCTGTGATCCAGTAATTTCTCAGCATATATAACCAGAGGTCAAAAACATCCAAATATACCAAGAATATTCAGAAGAGTACTTTTTGTGAGAACAAGGAACTAGAAACAAAGGAGCCAACAGTTGGAGAATGACTGAAGAAATGTAATGAATGAACTGAAGAATGTAATGAAAATATTAAGTGGTCAGAAATGACAAGTAGAAGAATTCAGAGAAATGAAGTATAAACTGATGCATAATTAGATTAACATAACTAGAACAATATGCACAATGAATATAATCAAGTAAATTAAAAACTAAAAATAAGCCATTCTCTTAATTGTGATAGCCAATTATAGTCTCGGAGAAAAGAAAATAAATTTACCTAGAATAATGGGCATAATTTGGCATACCTTATCAGAAACAATCACTGTAGGTTGTTTATTTTTTAACAATAAAATCTGATAAATTAATGAAAATTGAATATTAATTCCTATAATAGAATTCATCATTATGGCATTATTATAAAATGCCTATGATTAGACATGGGGCTAATGCTATACTATACAGACAGTTAGCAATATATGGTACCCTGCCTTCAGGTAGCTTGTACTCTACCATAAGATCTTACAGATTCAGATGAATGACCAAGACACACAATAAATGTGTTAAATCCACCAATTAACAGTAAAGCTTTTACCATTGGCTCTTTGTTGTTTGCACCAGTGGAAGGAACTAAGTATGGACAATCCCTAAATCATTTGTATTTACCCTTAAATTCTGCTTATGCACATCGTTTTAATTTGGCTGCATCCCAACTAGGAATTCACTTCAAACGTAATAAGAATTCTGCAGCAACCTGACTTAAAGGAATGTGGAAATGCTATCCAATTTTCCCATTGTGTCTCCATTTCATCTTGCATTCTGCATCGTACTATGAAGAGAAAATATGGGTGCTTAGATTAATGGAAAACCACAGACTTAGTAATTACCTTCAAGCTTTCCCTGAAGAATCCAAAGTGGTTAAGGTTTTTATTTCTTATTTCAAAGGACTTCCTAACTAAAACATACCTCAGATTCAAAGTAATTAGTCATAGTTGATGCAGTTAAAATTTTGAAATCAGGTTCATTGAATGGTTCTATTCAGTAATCACTAAGGGCCTACTGTGTGCTAGGCATGGAAGATACTAAAACAAAAATCCCCTCGAGGACCTTATAATCTACTGAGAGGAAGTAACATACACCAGTATGAACAAAAAAAAAAATTGGGGGAGGGTGTCAGAATTAACAATGGAACGAGAATCAGTAAAGGCCTTTTGAAGGAGGTGCCACTCAAGCTGAGCACTGAAGGGAGCTAGTGGTTCCACAACGTAGAGGGTAAGAGGAGAGAACATTCCAGGGGTGATGAATAGCCCCTCAAAAGTTACAGAGGTAGAGTTGGAAAGAATGTGTGGGGAACATCCACTAGGCCAGTTTGATTGGAATGTGGAGTTGCAATGTAAAGTCCTGGAAAGTTAGGTTGGAGCCAGATTCTGAAAGGCTTTAAATGTCAAACAGAGGAGTTTGTATTTTATCTTAGAAATAATAGGACATGTTATTGATGCTTCTTAAAAAGAGCAATAAAATGATTGGACCTGTGTTTTAGGAATATCAATTTGGTAGCTCTAGGGATTTCTGATTTTATGTAGGGGGTGATAAAGAGTAAACAATAGAGGACTGAAGAGGAAATGAAATTATCAGAAACTTGCCCAGTTGTATGCCAACAGAACTGAGAGAGGAAATAAATGAAAATTTACAAAAATATGAAATACCCAGATTAAAAAAAAATAGAAATAGACTAAATAACCCAATATCAGAAAAAGACACTAAGTGAACCAAAAATAAGCTTCCAAAGTAAAAAAATTCTAGAACCAAGTAGATTCACGAGTGATCTATCAAACATTCAAAGAACAATTAATTCTAATACTGCACAAACTGTTTGCAATAAGAAGAGAGTACCCTTTAAATCTCTATTACAAATATAGTTTTGATACCTAAAATAAGGGTGTGACAAAGCAGAGAAAGAAAACTATAGATCACTATCCCTAATGATCATTGATAAAAAAATTTTTTTTTTTTTGGTGAGGCAATTGGGGTTAGTGACTTGCTAAGTCACACAGCTAGTGAGTGTTATGTGTCTGAGGTCACATTCTGGCGCTCTATCCATTGTGCCACCTAGATGCCCGATAAAAAAATTTTAAGCGGGGAAGCTAGGTGGCGCAGTGCATAGAACTCCAGCCTTGGAGTCAGGAGGACCTGAGTTCAAATGTGACCTCAGACACTTGATACTTAACTAGCTGTGTGACCCTGGGCAAGTCACTTAACCCAGCTTGCCTCACCAAAAAAAAAAAAATTTTAAGCAAAATATTAGCAAGTAGGCTAAACTAATATATTAGAAAGGTTATATGACTGGGTTGGGTTTATATTAGTAATATAGGGTAGGTTCAACATAAGAAAGCTTATAAATATAATAAACTATGTTAATATAAATAATAAATCCATATGATCATATCAGTAGTCGCTAAAAAGGCCTTTGACAAAATCCAATACTATTAAAAACTCGAGAAATCATAGAAATAAATAGACCTTTCCTTAATATTGTAAAAAAAAAAGTTATCTAAATCCATGAGAAAACTCACAGATACATATAAAAAATTGGAAGTCTTTCTATTAAATTCAGTGGTAAATGAAGGATGCCTATTGCCAGCAGTACTATTTCACA